AAAAATAAACTGGATATAGCAAACAGTATCACAAGTGGAAAGAATAGCCTGTAATAGTTGTGTGTGGGGGCGGGTACTGGGGAATGAACTCGGGGCCTTCACACTGAGCTGCCTCCCCAGTCTTTTCTTATTTTGAGACAGGGTCTCGCCAAGTTACAAACTAGCCCAGGCTGGGCTCAAACCTGTGGGCCTCCTGCCTCGGCCTTCCAGAATGCTGGGATTATAGGCATGTTCCCAGCTGCCTTAAGTACTTTGAACTGGGCAGACATTCCAAAAGACTGAAAATTAAGCATACACCTTGAAGTTAGAAGATAAAAAAAAAGAGCAGCCAGGCATGGTGGCCCATGCCTGTAATCCCAGTACTCAGGAAGCTGAGGCAGGAGGATCACTGCTAGTTTGAGACCAGCCTGGACTACAAAGTGAACTCAAGGCCAGCCTGAACAACATAGCGAGACCCAGTCTCAAAAAGACAAAAAAAAAACAAAAACAAACAAACAAAAAAAAAACAGAGCAAACTCCTAGGAAGTTGTAGGAACCAATGAGAGCAGAAATAAATGAAGCCAAGACCTACACTCTGCACCCTTCTTTAGGAGATTGTTAAACTTTCTTCCCATCCACACATTCCTGTCTAATGGTCCACTCTCCCTCTCTTGCCACCCCAAGTCACCCAGTCCCTAGTTCCCTCTCCTAGTGTCTTACTCTGGCTGTAGAACCCAGAGAAGCGGTCCAGGGCATCACAGAGTTCCAGGGGAAGGCACCTTCTGGGCTGGTGCAAGTAGCAGAGCGAGGAGACTGGCCAGCAGCGTGGGGACAGGACCAGGATGGAAACTGCTGGGCTTGGATCTTCCATAAACAGTGCTTTCCTAGCCTCTTCTTCCTGTTCCTCCTGGGGAACAAAAGGATTTCAAGGGGCGAGAGGCTCCCTTCTACAGTCCAGATTTCTCTTGCTCTCCTCTTCTACCCTCTCTCCCCTTGCTTTTACCTCCTCGTCCTCTAGGCCCTGCTCCTCCTCTTCCCCTTGCTCCAAGAGCAACCAGTCAAGCCGCTGGAGCTGGGACAGGTGGAACTGGCGCTGCAGTTCCTCCGAGGTGCGCAGGCTCTGCAGCATCAGCTGTGGGAGGCGGTTTGGGAAGCAGAGGCCGATCTGCTCCAGCACCGCTCCCTCCAGCCAGCTGGAGCCCAAGCTCAGGAGACGGTCAGCCATGTAGTGCCTACAACACAGGCCGCATCTCACTGCGGGTGCCAGGTGGGCCTAGTCCAACTGCCCTGCCAGAGTTTGCCGGGCGTTTGTCACAGGCCCACCTCACCCTTCCCTCTTACTTTTTCCAATAGTGCATGGCCCTCTCTTCATCTTGCCTCTCCTCCCTACCGCATTCTCATGAACGTTCCCTCTTACATTCTAATCTCAGCCTCTTATACTCCCCTTTGTTGCTTCCCCAGGCCTGTACTCACTGATAGAAGTGCTCAAAAGTCGTGGCCAGCTCCAGGCCTGAAAGGACCATGATGGGCTCTAGGTGCTGCTGAAGCCACCGAAGCATCTCCATGCCAGGGGCTCCTCCCAGCAAGCTGGCCTGGATCTGCTGGTCAATGTGCCTGGCAAACTGCTCACTCACCTGGGGACAACAGGCAGGGTGCTGGGCAAGCTCTGAATGAGGGATGGAGTGGGAAGGTGGGGAGTGAGAAGATGTGAAGGCGGACGAGACACCTGGGCTCTGACTCACGTGGGCAGCAGTGAGGAAGGACTGCTGCAGCAGGGCGCCAGAGAAGCCACTGCGCAGAGCCAGTGTGAAGGCCACCCGAGGCCCAAACAGCTCTGTGCCTGCTCTCTGCAAGTGTGCGTAGAGTTTGCAGTACCGAGGCACAAAGTCAGAGGCCCTCCAGGCTGCAGCCAGGAACCTACCGACCTGGAGAGGAACAGTGAGGTGACATAAAAGGCCTACCCCGCTCCCCAACCTCAGCCTGCTGCTGCCCACCTGCGCCTGCACCACACTCAGCCAGCACTGGGTGATGTTCCTCAGGCTGCTGCTCGCAGGGACTGGCACAGGCACAGGGCTCGGGTTGCGACCTTTATTGTTCTTGCCGACTGTGGAGACAGAGCGCAGAGCAAGGGGTCGCCCCCAGCCTCAGGTGCATCCAGGAGTCTTTGGTGCTTACCCCTGGAAAAGCCAACACTCCCAGGGGTCTAGAAAAGCAGCAGAAGGAGCCCAGTTTCTCAGCTCTGTGGGCCATGGCTGGGACTCACAGGGCCGAGCTGGTGGCTCAGGACAAGGCCCCAGAGGAGGCTCAACATGCACCAGCAAGTGGCAAAGGCGCCGAACTCGAGAGGTGAAGGATGTTGCTCGACTCAGGGGAGCCTGAGGGCTCTCTCTGCGCTCCAGGTACTGATCCAGCAGCCATCCCAGGGAGCTCACACCTTCGGCATCTGCAAGACAGCAAGAGTAGGTGTTCATAGGCAATGAGGGAAGAAAGAGCCAGGGCGGAGGGAAAAGGAGCAATTATGCAAAAAGGTTTTAGGGGTGGCAGAGCCCTAGCTGTCCCCTCACCCAAGTCTGCTTCAGCTGGAGTCTGGGGACATGGTAACGGGGTGGGTGGGGTGGAGAGGAAGATTCAAATACCAGAGTTTCAGGGAGCAGTCCCTGGGGTGGTAAGCAGAGAGGAACACTGAGGTGACAGCCTTCGGGACAGACACAGGAACCAAGAGAACCAAAAATGTTAACTCAGGGGACCCTGGTGAAAACCCCAAAGAGCAGTCATCAGGGCCAGGGCCGGGATGTTACCAGGTGAGGTGATGTTCTGCACCAGGGGGCTGACCAGGGCCTCCCAGCAGGTCCTGCCCAGGGCCTGGGCAGCCTCCTCGTCAGGGAGGAAGCGATTGGCAAAATTCTGCTCGTGGCGCAAAACCTTGTTCAGTCTGGGAACAAACAGTGAATGGTCAAGGATTCAAATCACACATTTCCCTGGGGCCCCTACCTAGGTGCCAGCCATCTCCCACTCACCCACGCCTGGTCCTCCCAGCTGTCCCTCATCAGCATCCACTGCCTATGTTCACTGCCCCTCAAGGCCCAGCTGAAAGCTGTGCCCGCCAGATGCCCTGGAACCACATCTCCGGCCACCTGCGGCTCACTACCCTACTGCCCTAAGCACCTTCCTCCCCAGTACCCCACTCACCTGGGACAGAGCTGGAGGAGGCGCCTGTGGTCCTCTGCTATGTCCCGGCTCCAGGCTTGTGCCTGAATTGTGTAGAAAAGATAGGTACGGCGACACAGCTGCTCCCGGAATAGAGGCCAGAAAGTGGGCTTGGGGCCTAGGACCTCCACACCCCGAACCCGGGTGTCGATGCCACCCTGCAACGCAGATTCATGTCACCAAAGCCACTGTGTACCACCAAGGCCAGGCCTTATGGCCTGATTTCTCACGGCCTGACACCACCACACATCTGGTCTCAGCAGGTTCCCGGGGCACCTCCCAAGGAGACTAAGGAGGAAAGGAGGACACCTCATGCCGAAGAAGCCAGCCTAGCCTCACAGAGCCATGTTGTCACCTCCTGACCCTCACCCCTCATCTCTCCCCAGCCCCACCTGCTGGCAGCGCCTTATGCGGATCTGGATGATGGGCCAGAAGCGGGTCAGGTTCTCCAGGAGAGTCACTCGGCTGGCGGAGGGCATCACATTTACCTGGCAGAGCCAGAGAGAAGATGCAGAGCTGTCATGAACAGCACTGGGGCGGGAAAGCCAGCTGACAGCAGCCACATTGGTTATAGCATATGCCCTTCACCTGTGCCCAGGGATCTACTCTGCTCCTTATCCCTAGTCCCACCCTCGAGGTATGCAAGGCCAGCCCCACAGAAGGAAGGAGGGGAAGGTTCCCCACCGTGTTCAGCTCTGTACTGATGCTGCTGGGGCTGTCACCCCCGAACACCACAACCCTGGCTGGCATGTAACTTGAGTCCTCACTGGCCACCAGCAGAGTCAGCTGCCTGAGAGAGGAGAGAGCAGTCAGGCAAAGCCAGGGCCTGGTCGGAGTTCAACTTCAAACCTCAGTTTAATCAAGCCTTCCTTCTGGAAGGAGGCCTTCTCCAACCCTCCATCTGCCTCAGGATATCTATCAGGCTTTTCTTTCCTTCTTTTTTTAAGATGTTGCCCAGGCTGGCTTTAAACTCTTGGTTCAATAGATCCTCCTGCCTTAGCTTCCCTACTTGGGAGAACATCAGGTATGTGCCATGCCTAGCCCATTCTTTCTTTTTCTTTTTTTTTTTTTTTTTAGATAGGGTCTTGCTATTATAGCTCAGGCTGGCCTTGAACTCACAGCAATCCTACTGCCCCGGCCCTGACAACTGGGATTACAGGATGTGTCATCATGCCAGACCTTCAAATTGGTTTTCTAGCTTGGCTCACTAACTAGACTGTAAGTGCCCTAAATATAGGAACTATAATGTCCTTGTATCTCCAGACCTTTGATCAGTGCCAGGCATTAAACAAACGCCTACAGAAGAGTGGGTGAGTTATCTATCTCCCTCAACACTAAGCACAGGGCAGAGGCATCTGTACCTGCTGGGGTACAGCTCACCAGGCTTAGGGAGTGAGGAGTATCTCTAGGCCACACAGCACACAGGACAATATGTCTAGCTATCCACGGCCCAAACAGATTTGAGCACAACCCTCGGAAAGAGGATACAGAGCTGTATGCATGTCGGTGCCTGGGGATGTGATGAGTACATCACATTATTCCTGTGTGAGTGCATGCACCATGGGTGCATCCACACCTAACAAGAACACCCCGGTGCATGTGCAAGGTGATGTGGTGGGAGCCGGTGCTGCCATTGGACTCCCAGTAGGTCTTGGGGTTGCGGTCCATCAGCTTGCTGGCCCGGTGCGGGTTGGAGGACACCTCCACCTTCTCCCAGCACTTGTCCTCCTTCACGTCCATGCTGGAGCCTGGGGCAGGCAGGAAGGGGTATAGGCCACAGGCTCGTCAGCTGAGACAGAAATAAGGAAAGGTCTAGGGGGCAGGAAGGGAAGGGAAGAGCAGAGGCCGGTGGAAGCCAGAAGCCAGCAGAGCAGGCACTAACCCTGGCAGAGATGGCTGAGGAACACGTCAAAGAAGGGAATGTTGATAGGCCGGTGGGTTCGCCTGTGGTCTTCAATCTGGCCCAGCACCATCTGCAGTCCAAACAGCAGGGAGCAGGAGAGAAGTGCAGAGGGAAGACCACAGAGAAACACGAGGAACACGCACAGAGAAAAGGTCAAATGGCAACGGAACAGGAATACTCACCCTCTTTCTACCCCAAATGCTACAGATTTTCTACCACTTCTGTCAAACAGGGACCCCAAAAGGGACATGTGGCACACCTTTCCTTTGCCCCTGGCCCATATCCTCTCAGCTCTGCACCAACATGCCCTCCTCACCTGGATGCAGCCAGCCAGGATGCTGGAGGTGAGGTTGCTGTAGAGCTGGGCATACTTCTCACAGTCTGTCACCAGGTCACGAAGCTCAGAGGCCAGCAGCAGCTGAGCTGAGTGCCTGTCCAGAACTTTGGAGAGGGCCTCCTTGGCACCCAGGCAGCAGAGCAGCACCGCGTAGTCCTTATGCATCAAAGCCAAGCGATGCAGGAAGCAGGTCAGCTCCTGAACAATCTGCACCAGAACGGCATGGATTATGTGATGGAAAAAAAGGGCAGGCAGGTAAGGGTAGAGGGCTGTGTGGTGGCTGAGATTTTGAAGAAATGTGAAAGCCCAAGGAAAGGAGAGCACCAAGTCAGAGTGCAGAAGTACATGGGGTGCTGAGACTCCAGAGTGAGCTGGTGGCAGCAGAGCCTGGGCAGTTTTCCAGCCTCTTCCTGCCAGGGCCATGCCACACCAACAGCCAGCCTTGATGCCAAAGCCTCCCTGCATGATGCCCAAATCCTTACTGGTGGAGAGCGAAGGCTGTTTGGATTGGTGAGAGTGTACTTAAGAGAAGCTCAGAGTCTAAAATCCAGGTGTAGTCCCTAGGTTAATGCTTCCAAGACCCCAATTTCAGAGACTTTTTTTTTTGAGGCAGGGTCTCACTATGCAGTTCAGGCTGGCCTTGAACTTGTGGTGATCCTCCTGCCTCGGCCTGTCCAGTGCAGGGATTATAGACATGCATCACCACATCTGGTTTCAGAGACTCTTAGATGATATCAGCCTTCCTCTCCCTAACCACCCCCAATCCAGTGCCCTCATTCAGCAAGCGTCTGCTGTGCCCAAGCCTCAAGAGGCAGGTAGGACTCCAGCTGCTGCTTCTCCCTCCTCCAACCCTGCCAGGACTCTGATACCTCTGAGTCGCTGCCAGGGCCACTCAGGCAGTTCAGACAGGGCTCCAAAACCTCATGCCAAGGGAGGATCATGGCCTCGGGGTAATCCAGCAGTCGGGTCAGGACTCTGGTGAGGGGATGCAAACAAGTGAAGTCCCCATGGTCCCCTCACTCCCAGTGCTCAGGTGCCTGGGCAGGCCCCTCACCTCAGCACAGTCAGCAGCACAGTTTTATTGGGTCCAGGGGCATCCAGAGTCCGCAGCAACAGCAGGAAGGGCTGGGTCTCCTGCTGGAGGCACTTGAGGAGGGGCCTCACAGCACCCCCCGGGCTGCCCTCGTGGCACAGCACCCGCTCCAGGTCCAGGAGCAGCTCTGCAGATGGACCCCCTATCAGGGACCGAATCGCCAGCTCGGGGGACCCATCCTGGCCCTGGCCACAGGGGATCTCCAGTGCTAAAGCTGGATGGGCTGGAGGACAAAGTGCACACACAAAGGGAAGTCTTACAAGCTGCTCAAGCCAAGAAACAGAAGTCCAGAGAATCAGCCTCAAATTTTCTTCCCATGTTGAGGATGTCTACAGTTTTTACCAAACTATGAGAAATTTATGTTTTGGTCCCCAAAACAGACCTAACTGCATTCAAAAACAAATCTAGTAAACACTGTCAAGTTAAATATAACACATTGTTAATAACATACACAATTATCTTTTATTATTAAGTGTTAGCTATAATAACTATTTGCTGGTATAATTATATTCCATACAGCCTACTATATATAGTGGATATGCATGCTATAAAGATACATACCTGCATTGTGTCTTTTTTTTGAGACAGGGTCTCACTATGTAGTTCAGGCTGGCTTTGAATTTACAGGGATCCTCCTGCCTCAGCCTCCCAAGTGCTGAGATTATAGGTGCATGCCGCCACACCTGGCTATATTGCTTATTTCAATATACATCCATACTTCTGGGTTTTCACTTGTTTTTTAAAACACAAAGGATTTCTTCTCTTTGATATCAGTATTTTATGTTTCTAATCACAAACTTTCCATGGCATAAATTATGATTTCTTGACAGAAAGCCTCCTTACATGCCAATTTAACCAATTTTCTACCTTCCACTAAGATTGGACCAACCTAACCAACACTAATGGGCATCCACCTATGTGTAAGGCCGTTTAGACAAGGCAGTTTCCTGGCACCTATCTAGAGTCTCCTCCTCCTCTCGGTCGGGAAGTTCTACAGCAGGCCTAACTTGAACACTGAAAGCCTCTTTCATTATATGAGGATCCTCATGTCTCTCCATAAGAAGCTAGCACGTAAGTCCTGTTCTCCTGGTCAGCAGCTAGCTCCGCAGGACTCCTCAGGAACTCTACACACACAAATGCACACACACAACGGTACCTGCATGCTCAGGACCGCCCGGTAGCTCTGAGTAGCGGTTGAGAAGCATTGTGAGAACGGTGCGCATGGCGGGCACGGGTTCTGTCCCCGGTGCTATCCCTGCGTGTCTGAACAAGGTGTCTCTCAGCTCATGGGTTATAATCTTGTCTTCCAGAGTGTGATGCTTGCCCAAAAGCAGGTTGAGCAGGAGCAGGCCATTTCTCACTGCTGAGGAGCACCTGGGAGGAGGGAGGTGACCCAGGGAGAAATGACAGTAAATGCAAGGACACAGGGAAGCAGGTGTCAAGTGTGGATGAGGGGAGAGGGCTCCAACAGTTCCTCTGAGGAGGCCCCTGACCCCTGATAGGAAGGAAGGGCAGAACTCTCTCTGGCACTTTCCCTTCCCCCAACCACTTGGCCTCACTTCTAATGACATTCAGAGAGGGCCACCCAGTTTAGTTTTTTTTTTTTTTTTTTTTTTTGTTTGTTTGTTTTGGTTTTTCTCCTGTACCGGGAACCGAACTCACGACCTTGCGCTTGCAAGGCAGGCGCTTTGCCACTGAGCTAAATCCCCAGCCCCAGGGCCACCCAGTTTAATCCAGACATGACAATGTAAAGGGAATTTCTGTGGTGCACAAGAGCCTAGGGCACAGAGAAGTGGGGTGGGGGGGCTGAGCAGGAGACTGGAGTTTGAAGGGCAATGTCCTGACCCCTCGGTGTTCAGCATTAGGACCACTGCTGCAGGGACAGTAAGAAGCAGGCTCTCGGAGCCCAGGTGTGTGGCTGAGTCAATGCTGGCGAAGATCTCTCTGGTCATCTGCACATTAAACAAAGGCTGGACGGAATCTTGGCCAGAAACAGAAGTGGGACTCTCTGAGGAGCTAGCAAGGGCCAGCATCTTCAGTGCCTGTGGGGGGATACGGAAGGAGAGTTAGGAGGAGACAGAGCCACCATGAGGCAGGGGAGGGCCAGGGCCACTGCTCCAGAATACAAGGTTTGGGGTAGCTCAACTATCTGCAAACAGGTAGCCTAGGAGATGAAGATGGACGAGGTAGTGACAGACAGCAAATGCTAAAGAGGAAGGGAGGAAAGAGGAAAGAGAAGGGAAAGGAGCAAACACAACACCCTAAGATGGGATGGTAAAATCAGCACACCAGTACTCTCTGTCCCTAGACTCCTAGCAGGAAGGCTACTGAGCTAAGCACTCCACCCCCTCCCAAATCTTCCCTGGGGTAGTGCCCTCTCCCAGTCTCTCACTTGCTATCTTTCCTTAAAGCCATTTCTCATCTTAGCTCACCACTCCTTCCCTTGCAAAACCTCTCCCTTGAGTTCACTAGCTCATAGCCTCCTGGTTATCTTTCTACCTCTGTTGCTCTTTTGCCTGGCCCTGAAACACTGCAATTCCTCCTCCTCTTTCTCTTCTCACTCTGTGCTCTTTCTCACCTACATGCCAACATTCCCAAACCCTACCCCGTGGCCTTAGCTAGTGCCCACCCTCTTGACAAGGCCACTGTTTGGCACAGTGGCTGGAATTATGAAAAGGTATTTGTAGAGCTGGGTGTGGGGGTGCACGCCTGTAATTCCAGCACTCAGGAGGCTGAGGCAGGAGGATCATTATGAGTTTGAGGCCAGCCTGGGCTACAAAGTGAGTTCAAGACCAGCCTAAACTGTATGGTGAGACCCTATCTCAAAAAGACAAAAAAAGAAAAAGAAAAGTATTTGTAATGTGAAAACATAAGTCATTGATACTATAGAGAAAAGTTAATTAAAATGAACCCTACACCATAGAATTGCTGCTGCTTGTGAAAGCGCTGGCTCTTTGGGAGAAACCCACTAGGAAGGGACTGGGCCAGACCTACTTCTCAGGATAATGCCCCTTGTGAGGCCTCTGTCCTCCCAGCCAATGCCACCAGGTAGTAAAGCTTTCTCCCTTACTCCCACTCTGCCCTAATTAGCTGAATTCTGTAGACCTCAAGTTATGAACAAGATGATGCAATTTTATTATGGACAAGAGTTTGAATTTAGGGGTGTTATGCAATTTGAGAAGATCAAGGAATTCTTTGAGCACATGTGGCCTAGCCCATGAATGCCTGGCTGCTCTTAAGACCACTGTATTGTCGGAATCCAGTGTCAGAAATGCTTTGCTTGAGGCTCACCTGTCCCCCTCAGGGACCATCACGCTATAGAGTCACACGGTCCTCACCACCCTCTAGTGCTTCTCTCCCAAGTAGTCAGGGAACCAACTCTGTAAGCTCCCCTGCACAATCGCCTTCTTTCCCTCTGTTCAGAGCCTGAGCTGGCAGGAAATGGCAAAGCTGCCTTTGACTTACCCAAATCATTTGTCTAGAATAACAGTCTTTAACCAGACCCCAACTGTAACTAAAAAAAGGCATGGGACATTCAATATACCTAAAAACTCAGCTCCTGACCTTCCCTCCATACCAGTTTTCTGCGTTTCTCTTACTTAGCTGCAGCCACATGATGCACCTCGCTGTTCCATTTTAAACTTGAGCACCATTCTCAAAAACTCCCTTCTCCCTTTTTCCCATCACACATTGAATCCTCAAGACTGTCCAGACTTCTGCATCTTTCCATTCCCAGGCCTACACCCTGGTCTAAATCACTACTTTTCCCAATAACCGGCAGTCTCCAAACCTTCCCGCCTTGCCCATCACTCTTTCCCACAGGGCCCAGTGCACTCACCGCCAGCCCTGCCTGCTGCACCAAGACGGAAGTCTTATATTCTTGCATGCAAACCAGCACAGCATAGATGCCACCCTCCCTAGCAAAGAGTGGGCGCCACTCATGCTTGTTCATGAGCAGGTAAAGGAGGCGCAGGGCCAGTGCCACCACCATCTTCTTCCCCACCTGGCTGGTCAGCAACTCTACCAACGACTTCACTAGCTTCTCCCTGAAAAGAGATGAGACCCTTGGGTTCCCCGTCCTTAGGAGTCTTGCCCAACTTCTGGGCTAAGCCACCAGCTGCCTCCTGCCCAGTCCCACCCATTGAGATGCAGGCCACACTCTCCAGCCTGTTCTCTTTGCCTCAGTCTTGCTTGGGATCCCCTCCCCTCTGCAGTCCAAGTGGCCCTGAAGGAAGCAGTGGGAAAAAGTGGTTACAAACTCTAGCCTATCATTTCAAATGAACCTCTGGCTTATCATGTCAAATGAATTCAGTCAAATTTTATTCAAAATGCCTTAAAAGCTTTTAAAAATGGCAGGAAGATTGAGGAAGAGAAAGAAAATATATAAGAACAGTCAAAGAATGTTTAGGGAAAAATGATAGTTTTGCCTGTCCAAGTGTAATTATAAACATAATAATTAAAACTCTAGCCAGATGGGGTGGCACATACCTGTAATCCCAGCACTCGGGGGGCTAAGGCAGGAAGATTGCTGCAAATTAGAGCTCAGCCTGGGCTCCATAGTGAGTTCAAGGCCAACCTGAACTATATAGTGAGATCCTATCTCAAAAAGTAAGTAGGTAATTTTTTTAAAAAAACTGATACAGAATAAGCAAACAGATCAACAGATGACCAGAGAGATAGAGGTGAAGTCTCAGCCAGTGAGGAAAGGATGGACTGTTTCAAAACTGATGTTGAGCTAGGATGTGTAGTTCAGTGAGACCGTTTAACATGTGTGAAGCCCTGGCTTCAGTCTCCAGCAACAACCCCCCCAAAAAACCAAAAAATGTGAAGTTGAGACATCTGGCTATCCACTTGAATAAACTGGGGTTGAAGCTCTACTTCACATCTGCAAATGGAGTTTTAAATGAATATAAAAAAAAAAATCATACATATTTTTAGAAAACTTAAGAAAATATTTTTCTAATCCTAGAATAAAATAAACCTTAATAGGGATGCAAAATCTAGAAGCCATTAAAAAAGTTTAAAATTATAGTAAACAAGCGCCTGCCTGACAAGCTCGAGGTCATGAGTTCGATTCCTGGTACCGGAAACATCACCCCCCAAAAAAAAAAATAAAAATAAAAATAAAATTATAGTAAACATAAAAACTTTAAACTTCAGCACAATGAAAGACACTATAAAACAAAATTAAGATACATACGCTAGAAAAAAAATGTTGACTGGAAATGCTGATGTGAACAAAAAGAAGGATCCCAGAGTCCTGAGAACACAGTGAGGGCCACAAGAGGCAAAAAACCACAGCAGGTACTGACACCTTTCTCCACAATGACAGATACAAATGACATGGCCTGTGGCCTGGGAACCACGGAGGGAAAGAATACAAAGAACTTGTGGGATAGAAGGTAAACAAAGTCACTGGAGGTATTCAGCTTTGATTTATCTTTTCTCAGAAGCCTATGAGGACTACAGTGTGAACCAAATATACTTGGAATACACAGAGAACACTGTTTATCTCTGCAGAAAGAGCTTGCAGATGTTTTGTTTTGTTTTGTTTGAGATAAGGTCTCACTACATAGCCCAAGAACTTGCAGCAATCCTCCTGTCTCCACCTCCTGAGTGCTGGGATTACAGGCGTGTGCCACCATGCCCGGCTCAGATGATTTTTATCTTCCCACTCTTCTAACTTTTTTACAGTGACTATATATTCTTTGAAAGCCATAAAAATATGATGTTTTAAGGTATAAAATATTTGGATATGAATAACGAAAGTTTACCACAGAATGACCACAAGTCAGTTACGAAAAACAACCCAATAAAAATGTGGGCCAAGAACAAAATATTTAAAGACGAAAGAAACAGAAAAATAAATGCATCAAAATAAGCCTAACTTCATCAGAACTCAGAAAACAAAGAGACACCAATCATATAAAATTTCGTCAGTCTCACTGATTTAAAAAATGATAATATCCAATGTTGGCAGAGGTAGGGAAAACAGATCTAGAACAGTGTACTTGAACTTGGCTGTAGCCAAATCACAGAGTTCTACACAGCAATGAAAATAATAAGCAGTACTCCAGCACATGGAAATCCCTCTGAGATATACTGAGTGGGGACACAAAAAAGTCACACAAGCAAGTACAGTGTGATTATATACATTAAAACACAAATTCAGCCATGTACGGTGGCACCCACCAGCAATCCCAGCACTCTGGAAAGTTGAGGCAGGTGGATTACAAATTCAAGCAAAATTCGATTTTGCAATTTACAGGCTTAATGAGATCCTGCCTCAAAATAATAAAATAAAAAAGCTGAGGTTGTAACTCAGTGTGAAAGCCCTGGGTTCAATAGTTCTCAGTACCACAAAAACAAACAAAACTCAGGAAATGCTCTATTTCCACCTGAATAATATGTACAATTTTGAGTTTTAGGTACCAGCTAAAGACTTAATTTAAGGGCTGGGGATTTAGCTCAGCGGCACAGCGCCTGCCTGGCAAGCACAAGGTCATGAGTTCAATTCCTAGTACCAGAAGAAAAATAAAACAAAAAACAAAAGACTTAATTTAAAATTTAGAAATACTTCAAAAAATGCTCTACTTCTAAAACTACAATTACAAATGTAAATTTGAAGATGGTCTGAAGGATGCACCAGACTGGTAATTGGTGAAAGGTCCTCGGGATTTCTGTTCTATGTTCTTTTCTATCTTCTAGATCTCTTTAAGAATGCATTTGTGCCGGGTGTGGTGGCACACTCCTGTAATCCCAGCACTCCGGAGGCTGAGGCAGGCTGAGGCAGCTGAGGCTGAACTCCTTGCGAGTTCAAGGCCAGCCTGGGCTACAAAGTGAGCTCAAGCCCAGCCTGAACTGCATAGTGAGACCCTGTCTCAAAAAGACAAAAAAAAAGAATGCATTTGTGAAGGCCAGGGATATAGCTCAGTGACACAACACCTGCCCAGCAAGTGCAAGGTCTTGATTTCAATTCCCCCCTCAAAAAAAAGCATTTGTGTTGTATTATTTTTATAATTAAGAAGTACAGGACCAGCATGGAGGTATATGTCTATAATCCTAGCATTCTGGGAGGCTGAGGCAAGAAGTTTTCAAGTTAGAGCCCAGCCTGAGCTAAATCAAATTAGTGACTTAGCAAGGCTTTGCTGCTTACATCCTCCAGTAAAAAGTAAAAACAAAAAAAAGGTAAGGATGTAGTTCAATGTGAAGGCTTCAGTTTCAATCCTCAGTACTGCAAAAAAAAGAAGGAAGAGGTAGAGAATGAGGAGAAAAAGGAGGGAAAGGGGCAGGAGGACAAGGGTGAAGAAGATGAAAAGGAAGAGAGGGTGAAGAAAAGGAAAAGGAGAAGGAAGAGGAGAAACTTTAAAAGTAAAAAGAAAGTAGGGATAGAAGAAAACTTTATAAAAACTTAACATCCAGAGCTGAAAAGACCTAGGTCTGAATCCTGACTCTGCTATCTGCAGAACTCTGAGCAAGTGATTTAAACTCTCTAAGCAGATTTTCCACTCAAACAATACTACTACTAATATTGGAACAATCCTATCAATGCTACCTAGGTGTTAGGAATGAGAGAATACATGTAAAACCCTAGCACAGAAGAGCTCCAGGAATATCTGAACACCCACTGCTTGGCTGCTTAAGTGACCCCTCCTTCATCCTCAGCCTGCCTAATTCTGATTTCATTGCTCCCATCCCCCACCCCTCAACTCCCACCATCCTCATTGCCCAGTGTCAACCTAAACCTCTTCCCTGGGAGCCACACTAACCTCAGCAATTTGTTGGAATGGACCAGGGGGTGGTTCGACTCGGTGACCTCCTCCACAGTCTGACAAAGGGCATAGAGCCCCGAAAGCTGCAGGTCTGTGTCTGAGCTGGATATCTGCATGATGGCTGTGACTGCTACCACTTGCTGATCCAAGGAGCTGAGTGGACCAGAAACCCGCAAACTTCTAGCTATTTCTGAAACCAGTGAAGGAAAGGCAATGGCTAAAGAACAGAGGCACCTCCAGGCTGCAAGTTTCAAAGGACAAGTCCAGTCTTCCCACCAATAATTAAATATATTTGTCACTACTGTGGCTTGCATTTGGAATTTTCCCAGTTACACAGAATCTAATCACACAAGAAAGATGGAGAAACTCTGGAAAAGGATATATCTCTCTCCAGATATACTAAAGACGGGGGAATAGCTGATTACACAATCCAGATCAAAGGGAGGATGAAGGCAAGAGTTCCGGGGGCTTCCTGCGAAGTTTTCCTCCGCCCTGAATGTCCACATCTTCTATGGGCCCACTCAGGACTTGTGGCAATGTCTTTGCTCTCGGCCCCCACAGTGTGACTCACCATTGGCTGCCTCCTTCATCTTGGGGGGTGGAGCCATCCCCTCGGCCACCAGAAGCTGGTTAAACAGCTCTAAATCACTCTGTGCCACGGGGAGTTCAGTCTTGGCCTTGGCAGGCTCTGCCTCTGCCTTAGAGGGCTGGGCCTTTGCTCCAGGGGGCTCAGGCTCTTCCTCTGAGAAGCTGGCCTCTGACTTGGACTCCTCTTGTGGATCTGGAGTACAGGAGTGACTTCGTGAAGATGATGAGGTGCTGGGTTCATCAGAGAGCAGCCCGTATTTGGTGTAGATCTGGGAGTTGAGCAGGTCACAGAGGGTGCTGCCCTCCAACCGACTACGGAGGGCCTGCAGCAGGCCCTCAGCCATCTCCACTGGCACAGAGAGTTCCCCCAAGGTCTCTTCACCCAGGGTCTGTCAACAGAGAGTGTGCATCTTAGGAACAAGCAGACACCAAGTTCCTGTCACCAAGTTCAGATGGGTAGCTGCCCCCACCTGCCCTCATGCCTTTACACAGCAGGCCCTCACAGCATGTCTCCTCCCTCAAAGGGACCCAGCCCCTCTAACCTCCAACCCATCCCACCTCTAAATGGGACCCCACTGCTAGAACTTTCTCTAGCATTTCCACTTCTAACTTTACAACTATCACCTTCCACCCTTCCCAGGAATCTCAAGCTTGTAATACCTCATTTAGCTTCTCCCGAAGATTCTGGAAAATTGGCTGCTGCTCACTTATGTCCAACTTCTTGATGAAGAAAAGCAGCTCCCACCACTCAGCCTGGGTCAGGTGACCCACCTCTTCGTGCTTCTGTGGCTCAGGCTGGAGGTATGGCAAACAGTAGAGGCTGTCCATGGGTTTCCAGTCCCAGGAGGGAAGCACTAAAGACACAAACACAAGGGTATTGGCACCCAGCAGGGAAAAGAGCCAAGATCTGAACCTCTGAGGCAGCTCCCAAGGAAGTGGCTTCTTGCTGAACTCCAGTCCTCTAGTCAGAGATATGATAACCATGTCCTCTTAGACTCACCTGTTGCCAGTACAGTCGCCCCTGCCCCTTTCTCCACCGCTGCGGAGGCTGCATCCCCAGTAGCTTCCTCAGGGCCCAAGATCTCCAGCATGTGCCAATACACCCAGTAGGTACGGCCCGTTGACTGCCAGAAGACCTGGCATAGGGGAAAAAAGAGTGGGGTCAGCTCTCGGAGCTCTGAGCTGCAAGGGTTGCAGAGGACATGCCTACACCTAGCTGTGGGTCACATCATCGATGCACACCTCTCTGAGCTCGGGAAATTGTATAACCAGAGGCTCCCATCCCTCTCAGGAGTGGGCCTGTCTCTCTTCATACCTTGATGGCCTCTTTCTGTGTTGATGGTTGAGTACCTCAATGAGTCCCTTCTGCTTCCTGCCAGAAATCTCTCCATGACCTCACAGCTGCCCCCACCCCCACTTGCTGACTGCCTTTTACCACTTCCACTCCCTGGGAGTTTTCTCCCTGGCTGGCATATCAGAGCCTTCTGCATGAAAACCCAGCTATGCCCCCACCCACAACAGATCCCCAGCAGTGTTTGCCATCATGTGTCCCTCACCTGCACAGGGGGGACACCATTGTTGCTCTGCCGGAACTCCCCCTTATCCCCTGCGGTGATCTCCTCGTAATCGTCCAGCATCCGAACTTGCATGCCCGGCTGCAGTACCTGCTGCACATACTCACCATAGCCACTGCGGCTAGAGAATTCTGAGCGCTGGCGAAAGCCCCGCCCTTGCCTTCTGGGGGCGGTGATGATGGTGGGGAGTAAGAGGGAGGGCCCTGAAAGGCAGGGCTGAAAGATGGACCGAGGTGGATGGGGTGGTAACATGCTCTGTTTGTTGAGCTTGTGGGCCCAGCCCATGCTCCGCAACAGCTCTGAGATGAGGTTGCCCATAGCCATACTGAACTCCAGCTCCCTCTGTCCTCGGCTTTTCTCTCTCATGGGGCACAGACAGCTCTGGTCTCCACTGCCTGCTTCTGCGCTGTTATTCAGTTGATCCAGCAGGGAAGTGACACATAGGTAGTGTTTCACCAGGGAGAAGAGCAGCTTTCCTGGGATCTGTAGGATACAACCTTTGAGGCAGGCTCATTTCCTCCTGGCTCTGGCATTTCCCTTGCCCCTCTACTTCTTCCCTATATATGTAAGACCTCATTCCTAGACATTTTTTAATTTTTTGAGACAGGGCCTTGACAACTTACTAATTGTCCAGATTGGGATTAAATTTATGATCTTCCTGACCTAACTCCCCAAGTAGCTGGGATTATAGGCATGTGCCACTACACCAAGCTTAATCTTAGAAGTTCTGAATGGGAAGCGGGGATGCACCTTCACTTTTATCTAGCTCTCCCAGGGCCTCTGGTGCTGACACCTACTCCCACACTACACTTTGAGAAATACTGCCTTGCACACAGCTTTCCCCACAGCCAGCAGAGTACCTGAGGGAGATGAATGCCCTCAAAGGCCATGCAATGTTCTTCAGAGGAAGTGGTTTCTGCAAACAGCTCCAGCAACGTATAGCGGCTATCAAAATCCATGTGCTGCTCGATGCCATCTTGCTGGCTCAGCGACAGAAGGACGTGAGCCCGACTCCCTGCAATCCACACCCAATCCATATCTTCTCCTCCATGCCCGCCTTTCTCCTGCCTTTTTTAGCTTTCTATCTTCTTCCCTAGAGGCTTTCAAGTTTCTTTGTGACTAAGACCTAAGCAAGATACACATTTTACCTGGTAACCTGGCACAAACATACACAAAGATCACAAGAACCTATCATGCTACAAAATTCACAAACACTAAGTAATGCACACTGATGTTTTATTGGTTGTAACCCCAACAAATTGATTTCACAATTAGTATATCTCAACCCACAACTTAAAAAAAAATGCAAATCAGCCAGGTGTGGTGGTACACGCCTATAATCCCAGCACTCGGGAGGCTGAGGCAAGAGGATCACTATGACTTCAAGGCCAACCTGGGCTACAAAGTGAGTTCAAAGCCAACCTGGACTGCACTGTGAAATTCTGTCTCAAAAAGACAAAAACAACAAAAAGCGAAAGAACTGTAAATCTGCCCTATTCTCTTCCCTCTGTCACTGCACTGAGAATGGATAGATACATCAGGTGCTACCATTTTATCCTGTTTATCTATGTATAATAACCTATTAATCTGTTCCTTTGCAGTGAACTGATAGTTATCAAGTTCTAAGTGTTCTTAAAGAGCTAGAAACTCTCTCTTTCTTTCTTATTCCTCTGAGCCCCATGCTCTACAATGCCTTCCTTCTTCCCCGGCTGTCTCTTACCAGCATCGTGGGCTGCCAGAGCCTGTAGCATCTTGCCCGCACTCCGGCGGATTTGAGGCTCGGGATTGCACAGCATGTGCATGAGCAGGTCCAGGGCTCTTGTCTCCCTGAAGACCCTGGTGAGGGGCCCAATGCTGGCATAGGCACTGAGCACATGGATGGTATGAAGCACTGCAGCTGTGAGGCTTGAGGTCCCACCTTCTGCCAGCTGCCTGGCAGCCCTGTGTACCAGCGCCCGCACATCAGCTTCCATCTCTCCAACTGCTACTTCATCCAGGCCTCCTGGGTCACGGAGAAAGCTCCCTGAACCCCCAGCTGGTTCGTGCTGAGGTCCCTTAGACAGTGCCCACTCACCTAACAGCATGGGGCAGTTAGCGTAGACCTCTGGGGCCGACAGCCACATCAGGATGTGTTCTGTTTTGCCTTCCTCCACACCCACTTTGTCCACTTCCCCATACTTCAAGATACTCCATCGGATCAGGTATTCAGGACACCCATCATGCCCAGGTCGCTGGCGAATGAGTTCCTTAGGATATGCCTGCAGCTGGGGTCCCAAAGGGACCATGAGGTCCCCAACACGTCGCTCCCCTACCATCCTGACCTCCTGGAATACACAAGGGAGGGATAAGACAGGATGGCAAAATAAAAATTAAACAAAAATAAAACAACACCCAGAAGACAATGTGAGAAAAGAAAAAGACTACATAGGCAGAATCTTGGAATCCAGATAAGATGGGTGGTGACTGCTAAACTGTACGGTAGAATTTAGAGGCTAAACAGAGAAGACCAAAAATAAGATGGGAGAAATAGCTAAACTTGAGGGGTTTGTTTTTTTGAGAGTGTCTCACTATGTACCTCAGGCTGGCCTTGAACTCATTATGTAGTCCAAGCTGGCCTCAAACATGTGCTTATCCTCCTGTCTCAGCCTCCCGAGTGCCAGGACTACAGGTGTGTGCCACCATGTGTGGTGACTGAGATTTATAAGGCAAGAAATGCAGTGAAACTAAGCAGGTGAAATGAAGGGCTTCAGACATAGACGAAGTTACAGAGAGAAATGAGAAGAGTAATAGGCAAAATAATAATACTCAAAGTGACAGCCAAGCAGACCAGTCTGGGCAGAACAGCAGGCTAGATGACGGTTTCAAATCAGGACTCCAAAAAATGACGTGGACAAAGGGCAGCAGCATGTGAGATACTGGGGCCAGAAGATGAGGAAAAGTAGGTTTGGAGAGGAGCAGGACTAGGAGCTATCAAGGACAGAGCGAAGCTGGAACGTATATATAAAGAGGTGAGCCATGGCAGATATAGAGAATGGAGAAGAAAGGAGGTGGAGACACAGGACAGACAACTGGATGGGAAAAGTGCATGAGAATCTTATGAAAGGGAGAGTGGCCCAGGGACCAGGTGAATTCTGGAAGAAAAAGACCAAATCCTACCCTGTACTTACCGTGTACGTATGTTTAAGGGTGTAGGTTAGGTAGATGCAGACAGAGGTAGTACTTATGGGGTTGAGGATAGGGAACGAAGTTAGGAAAGAAGTAAAGTAGTATAGATTTCAAGAGTAACATAACCATGGCTCAATTCTGGCTCTTTTACTATCTACAAAGTTGAGGGCTGGGGATTTAGCTCAGCGGCACAGCGCCTGCCTGGCAAGCGCAAGGTCGTGAGTTCGATTCCCGGTACTGGAAAAAAAAAAACAAAACCCTATCTACACAGTTGAAGAAGGTGCTTAATCTCTGAGCCTGTTTCCTCCCTGAAAAAGGTAACAGTATTTCTATCTACCTCATAAAGTTGTCATAAAATCACGTATGCAATGCAATTTGAACAGCATCTACCACATAAGTGCTCAGTAAATATAATCTACTATTAATCAAACGTTATTCTTAGATGGTAGCCGCAGCCACCAGATAAATGGAAAGTTATAAACCCAATTATAACTGTGAGTAGGACGATCAGGAAAAGATACGTGTAATATGAAACAGTGCGGGAGGAACAGGACGGAAGGTAAAGCAGGTGAAGAAATGGGACGCACGTCGGGGTACAGGGGTAGAAGGCAAGCAGGAGTGAAGACAGGAAAGATGTGGACCTCGAAGGGGGCAGGGGATCACCCGGGGTGGGGGACGGGCGGGGAGGTACCTAGTGACAGAGCAATGAACAACTCATCAGCTTCGCGCAAAATAAACCAACAGCGGCGGGGGCGGGGGCGGGGGTCTTGACACGCAGAGGTAGGCTGCGGTGTGGAAGTGAGTCGTGGGAACTGAGCCTACCACACAACAGGACGAGGCCGGGGTTCCCAGACCAGAGAGACCGGGAAGGAGGCCGCGCCAGCCGTGGGAACGCGCTTGGGGGGCGGGGTAAGGGTGAGGGGCGGTCCGGAGGCTGACCGGACCCAGAGAATCTCAGCGAGCAAGACCTAGTTCCCTTCGTCAGCCCACGGAGAGGGGCTACGGGATCGGGCAGAGGTCGGGGAAGGGAGTGGGCTGGCGCAGAACTATACTCTCACCTCCCACTGCCGGGCTAGGCCCTCGCGGGGACCGCTGTCCCGGTCCCGCCTCCTCAGCAGCTCTCTTCCGGGTCACACAGCGCGCGCACGCGGGGCCTGGAGTCTATGGGTCCCAATGCGGCCCACGCCGTTCGCGACCGAGCGGCGCGCGCATGGAGCATGCGCCCTGGCGCCGAGGGTGGGGGAGCGTGGGGGGCGGTGCGCTGCAGGGGCCCCGGAATGCGGTGGCGTGGTTCCACTCTGCTGTAGGCTGTCCTTTAAATCTAGGACACTGTGAAGCACCCTCTACTCTGGGTCCACCTTCCTCATCCATCAACAGATTGTCTGTCCATGAGTTTCCCAGACCCGTCCGCAATACTTTGGGTTAGTTGTGCCACTTTGCCTATTAATTAAAATTGGTTAGCCAGGCATGGTGGCGCATGCCTGTAATGCCAGCACCCTGGGAGGCTGAGGCCAGCCTGGGCAATTTAGTGAAACCCTGTCTCAAAAAGAAAAAAACAAGGCTGGGAATATAGCTCATTGTGCAGGCGTGGGTTCAATTTCCTGTTACGCCCCCCTCCTCCAAAGGTTGCTCAACTTTGTTTGGTCCAAGCTCCTAGCAAAACCATGCATAGGGAGAAATCCCCCATTCTAACCGCCCCACACACAAACATTAAGACTTAAGGGAATTCAGCAGCCAGAAGTTCCCCTTAACATTTGTTTTCATCAAACTAAGCCAGACTTGCTTCTTGGAGCAGTGTTTCAGGGTTTGTTTAATGTTTATCCCATCCTCCTTAGGCAGAAAAACAAAGCCAAAGACCCCACAATCTGTGCACAAAAATGATACATTTATTGAAAGAGTATTTTTTTTTTAATACAAAAGAAAGCTCTGTACATAGGACTGTGACCATGTCCACCATTCCTGGGTCAGCATCCCAGGGAAAGTAGAAACCACTGACACACACCCCCTACATTCACACACACACATACACACCCACTCAGGCACACACACAACACACACACACATACCCCAGAGCCATCGAGGAAGGAAAACACCAAGGGTCGCTGCACTTGTAAATGCCACCTCGTCCCTGACACGCATGCCCTCCCAAGGCCCTGTTCACACGACACACATTATAAGCACTTTGCCTGACTCACTCACTGGGTCTGTCTGCTGTGGGAAGGAGAGGAATTCATCAGCATCTCCTCTCCTGGGTAGGGGAGCAGGGTGTGAGTGGTGGTGGAGTGAAACAAGAGCAGAGCAAAGGGGCTGGGCAGTTACAGACCTGAGTCCCGAGCTCCCCAGCTCTGGCCCTGATTTGCCATGCCCCGGCCTTAAAAGCCACCCTGAAACCCCAGCTATCTCCAGGAGAAAGCCCAGAAAGGTGACTTCCATCTTGGCACCCCAGACTGGGGCAAAACAACCACTGGGTAGAGGTTAGGGGGTTCGCAACGTGGGCAGATCATCCCCTTGATAACTAGGCTGTGCGTAGAATCTCTCCCCACCCTTCACCTGATCAGAGGCAGGCTTGTTCTGACTGACTGAAGGCGTTGGAAGGGTTAAGAAAGGTCTGCTCCAGCTGCTGCCCCGGTTTTGAAAAAGCCCCTTTCTGGACACAGGCGGTGAAGGTGGGCTGTGACACAGGGTAAAAGTCCCTCCCCCATGCCAGCCCACCCTCAAGATCTACCCCAGGGGGGCAGGGGTGTGGGGCATGGCCCCTGTACAAATTACATAAATACTGAGGTTACACTTAGAAAAATAAAGTCATTTTCTTCAAGGCTTTTTGTCTTAATTTAAAAAAGTTACAGTAGCTGCTCACTCCCTGGGAGAGCTGCCCATTTCTGGCTCCCTATTCCCCTGCACTCAGCCCAAGAGCCGCTCCCACTCATGACCCCCATTCCTGCCTCTGCCCCCCTCCCAGACCCCACCCTGCTCACTGCAACTTGGGCCCCAGGCAGCTGTGGGCCTGGGGGAGGGAGCACAAGGTTGCAATGCCCATGCGTGTGGCACAAATGAAGTCAGTTGCCTCTGCCTGACACCCTCCCGCGCCCACCCCTACATTTGGTCTCCCTCTTCCCTCTCTCTAGCAACAGCCCTAAAGGGCAAAAAGAGGCCCAGAGCTGTGGGTGACCCTCCCCACCCCACTGAGGCATGGCCTGAGGGCCCCTTCCCCAGCTCTCTCCTGGCAACAACCCAGGATAGGGCCATCCCAGAATCTCCCCCCCACACTGGAGGACCCCAACCTCATGGGGTGGCTCTGTCCCCAGGAGCCCTGCCAGTTCTGGGGAGCCCAAAGGCTCCCCAGGGAAGGGGAGTTTGGGCAGAGAGGGGGACGAGAAAAACGCCATAAAAAAAAGTTAAATATTTTAAAAATATATATTTATAGATTTGTTTTCACTTCGTCTCCTCAAATAAAAAGTTCAAAATCAACTTTAAAGCAGCTGGGAGGAGAGAGGGGAAGACGAGGGGTAAGAAGGGAACACTGGTGGTTCCCTCCAACCCAAGTGCCCCTGGAGGTCCTCAGGGCACAGCAAGGCAGGGCGGCGGCCCCAGGAACCCGCCCTGCGCAGGCCCAGCTGCTCAGGAGCTGAAGGGGCAGAGGGTGGCATGGGGGCACCCCGGCTCCCCTGCTGGCTCCCTGAGGAGGTTAGGCCTCTTGTGAGCCAGCCTGTGGCAGACACAGTGCTGACCTGGGGTCAGCAAGGAGGCTGGAGAGAGAGCCCAGACTACCTCCTGGGGAGGGGGAGGGACACGGTGCCCAGCCCCACAGAAGGCCTGTGAGTGGGAAGGGGGCACCGTCCCGTTGGGTAAGCTAATATTCATGGCAAACATCGAGCCAAGCTGGCAAGGGGAGTCTGAGGGGGGGAGGCAGGAGGGAGGGTGCGGGAGGACAGGTGGAGGGCAGGCAGGCCCATTTCTTTGGCTGGAGTGAGAGGGCATAGTCCTGTGGCTGCCCGCTCCTCCACCCCGCCTCCCTCCTGCGCCCGTCAACATATGTGTAAAGAAAACGTGAAAAGGCAACAATAAATAAGTGGTGCCGTCCCTTGGGCCGTCTGTCCAGGGCGGCGGGCGGATCATTCACTCTTGGTGCTGTGGGCGGCGTCCAGGTTCACCACCTGCAGCTCGGTGAGGTTGCTGCTGCTCCCGGCCTGCTGCCCTATCACAGCCATCTGGTGGGGAGGGGGCAGTAAACTGGAGGCAGGTGCAGAAAAACCAGGGGGCCCTGGGGCTTCTGGCTTAGGCCAGGTGGTAATGGATCCCCCCAAGTCCTGATGACGTAGCCATGGGATGGGGTGAGAGGGCCCCCCATCTACCTGGTGAAGCTGTACTGCAGACACAGGGATCTGTACTGTCCCAGAGGGTGCCGTCAGAAATACCTGTGGGACACCACCTGCATGGGGAACACAGGAAAGGCTCATTCAGAAGGACTCCCAAATGCTGGACCCCCAAAGGCTGGGGGCAGTAATAAATGCACAAGTGACAGGGAAGGCTCAGATGAGTGTCTAAGTGGAGGATTGTGTGTGTGTGTGTGTATCTGTGTACACGTGGAAGGAATGCATGTGGCCCTGTGGAAATCAGTATGAATATTCCTCAAAAAACAAAATAGAAATTCCATTCAACCCAGCCATTCCTCTTCCAGGTGTCTAGAGTTATTAAAGCCATCACATTACAGTGATACAGACACACCCATGCTTACAGAAGCCCAACTCATACAATAGCTAAATCTTGGAAGAGGTCTATATTTCTACCGACAAATGAAGGGATAAAGAAAAGGTGGTATATACACACAATGGAGTACTACTCTGCCATAAAGGATAAACTTGATCATTTGTAGAAAAATGGATGCCCCTTAAGACCATAATGTTAAGTGAAATAAATCAGACACACAAGCGTAAATACTGCATGGTTTCTCTTATACGAAAAACCCAAAGCATAAATAAAAAGCAAAATAAAAGAGAGATAATAGGAAGCAGAGAGATAGAGCTTTAGTAAAAGATACGTGTATTGGAGGAAATAGTTCTCCCTTCTGCAGCCCTGCCCTCCTCTCACCTTGTTCCTGGACCTGGCTGTGGGACACCTGCATGGTAGATGGCGCCTGGGAGAAGGCATTGAGCACGGTGAGGCTGCCATCAGCCAGGCCCGAGGTGGGGGCATACATCACCGCATGGGGACTGGGGTACATCATGTGGCCACCCACAGTTGTGGGCACGGACGATGTCATGATGGTGGCAGGCAACGTCACTGGAAAACAGACACATGTCAGGGAGCAAGACACTGGTCCCTACTGATGGCCTCATCCCACCCCATGTCCCACTCAGAAGCTTGACAAGACTGTTCCTCTTCTTAAACTCACACCCAACAAACCTGGCTTTTAAACAAGCACTGCTTGAAAGTTAGTGTGCGTATAGTTACCTTGCTAAAATGCAGATTCTAATTGAATAGGTTTGGGGTAACAGGAGTCTGCATTACCACAAGCCCTTAGGAATGCTGGTGTTCCCAGTCCCTAGACCACACTTTATATAAAAGGTTGGAATAACAACAACTTAAAAGTATTTTTTTTTCTTTTTGAGACAGAGTCTCACGATATAGTCCAGACTGGCCTTGAACTCACTATGTAGCCCTGGCAGCCACGGAACTTGCGGCAATCCTCCTGCCTCGGCTTCCCGAGTGCTGGGATTACAGGCATGCGCCACCACAACTGGCCAAAGTAATTTTGAAAGTGTGTCATCATTTCTGAAATGACCACCTGAGGGGAATTATAGCTACTATAAACCCACAACTCTCTCACACAGGGAGACAACTGCTGGGTAAGACCTTTCAGGTAACTAACCAGGTGTTGTATCTCTGGACAAATAAATTCTCAGGTAAGGAAGAGATGGCTTCAGCGGCCCCTAATTTCCTCCTGGAATCCTTAGCTCCACTGCAGGGTACCATTCAAAATCCCTCCATCCTCATGTGACTTTCCCATAAGGATTAGGCCAAAAGCCTTAGACTCTAAGAAATTCTCTAACCTCAGGTATAGGAGGGGTCTGCTAGACACCTACTGCTAAGCCTCAGGAGGTGGGGGGAAAGGCAGGGAAGGTGACAGGGCTGAGTTTTACCTGTCCCGCTGGAGGAGGTCTGCGTGAGGTCTGTGCTGCTGTCGCGAGAGGGAGACGCTTGCTGTGGGGCCTGGTGTACCTGAATGGCCTGCACTGGGACCTGCTGGGCTACTGCCCCACCTATGAGACACAGAATCTTCCTTGGGCTCTGTCTTACCCAATGTCCACCTGCACCAGACACACTCGAACACCCCAGTCCCAAGGTCTGGCACACCCATCTCCAACTCCCATCACCATCTTTCTGGGAGCCAAGCAGGTCCAACGCTCTTCTCCAGCGGCTTCCTGACTCCTTTGGGGTCTCTGACTAACCCAGAAGCTGGCAGTGACCCAGCAAGAACATGACAGGAAAGCAGCTGAATGTCTACTGTGCCACTGGAATGGAGGGCTGGCTGGACAAGGCCAGAACACACAGTTAAACTTAATGCCAAGGACTGCGGGGCTCTCACCGGCAGGAGGTCACCTTCCCAGGGGACATAAGAGGCTTCTTAGGCTCTAAACCCGTTCACCCTCCTCTGAGCAGGGAAAGCAGTTCTCCTGGCGCTACCCATTGTGAGACCCACTCAGCATGCCCAAATGGCCCCATGACTCACCAGGCATGAGGGTGAAGCTGGTAGGCAGCTGCATGAGGCCCCCAGAGGAGACAGGACCGCTGCCTGTACTCTTCAGCACAGTGCCATTGGCACTGCTGACAGCGCTGGGGCTGACGCTAGCAGACACTGGTGCCAGGTAGTTGGTGATGGGGAAGGAAGGGCCGCTGCTGACTTGCATGGTGGTAGAGGTGCTGGGTGCTGTTTGGATGGTGGAGGTGGTACCCGGCAGGTTGGTGACTGTGAACGCTGGCTTCAATGTGTCCTATGCTCAGAGTAAAGATGGAGCAGTGAGGCTCTCCCAGACCCTGCCCTGCAGAAGCCTTATGTGGACTGATAGCCCACATTAAAACCAGTGTGCTTTAATACAAAGGTCAGCTCCACTGTTTATCCACTGCCTGACCTTTGGGCACATTACGGTGCTGCTAAGCTTCATTTCCTACCTCTAAAAGGATAGGGGCGTGCAAGTGTAGTGTAGCTCAGGGGTAGAGCGCTTGCCTAGCATGTCTGAGGCCATGGGTTCAATCCCCAGCACCACAAAATACATAAATACATAAAAGGATAATACCTACTCCACAGACTGTTAGGAAGACAGGTTAACATGCGTAAAAGCATTTTGAGAATAGCACCTGGCACATAACAAGACCAAAATGAGTATGTGCTGCTCTTACAATGATGATGATTATGATAGCCGTGATAATCATGATGACTACCACTGTCATAATAATTCACTGAGTTCTCTGGCCCAGTGAACTGTGGGATCACACCTAGGGCCTGTTCCAGCTGTGTCAATGGCCATCTGTGTGACCCTGAGAAAATTACTTCCTCTTTCTTAGCCTCAGGTTTCCTCTTCTTTAAATAGGAGGGAGAGCTGAGCTACTATGTTCTCTCAAAGAGTTCTCCAGTTCCGGTCTGTCAACTTGCTGGTAGACTCTGAGAGTTGTCCAGGGAACTAAGGGTTTGAGAGAGATCTTAGAAGTTTGGCAATGAAACACTGTTTGTCAAACGCTTAAGACAAACTGCCAAGGAACTTACTCTTTCACCAAAAAATTTTTTTTTCTTTTTTCTTTTTTGTGGTGCTGGGGATTGAAACCAGAGCTTTGTGCATGCAAGGCAAGAGCTCTACCACTGAGTCACATCCCCAGCCCCCAATTCACCAGAATTTCCTGCAAATGAATGAGCCCTACTGCTACCAGAGCGTGAAAATAATAGTTAACAAGCAGAACGGGGCCTGGTGCATTGACTCTTTAGGAAGGCTCTGTTCTTAGAAGGGAGAAGAAACCATGAGCTCAAGACCAAGACACCAGGCTCTGATCTGAACCCTAGTGGGATTCAACAGCTAGGGGTGGGTCAGCGCCGGATGTTTCCGAAGCAGCTAGGCTTAAGGCCCCTGATTGGCGGAGGCGTTGCTAAGGCAAACAGTGCTGCTTCCTCCCATTGGCCAGTCAGTTAAGGGCGGAAGGTGGAGCTCTTGCGACAGTGAGGAGGAAGCCTCACCCCCTCTCCTTACCGGGAAAAGGAAGAGGGAGGCGTAACTAGGGCCGGCATCCCTAGCAGCAGGCAGGCCACTGCACACTTAACACCGGAGGGGCAGCCGTCTGGCTAGTAAGGTAGTCCTCCCACCCAGGCAGCTAGCCCGCCCGCCAACAGTGCCGCGTTCCCAGGACCCCAGCCTCCCCTCCTACTCCCCGGCGACCTACCCCGTCGGGAGGGCAGGGCTAAACTACACCCCCGCCCCAGCGGGGAGACAGCTGGCGGGAGGAATGCAAAGGCCCTGCCAGGCCGGCGGGCGGGAGGCCGGCGTGGAGCCCGAGCCGGCCTTATATGGGCACGGAGGCCGCCCGCTTATCTAGAGGGCCGGCCTCCCATCGGGCATGGATTTTGGACACCTGTCCCCTAGGATAAGGGGCACCAACCCGGCTCCACTCCACATCGGTGGGCACCTGTCTACCTGCAGTGGGCCAGGGAGGGAAAGGGACCCCCTTCCCTCCTCTCCTCTCACCTAGGGGACACAAACACACCTTAGTCTCCCCACTGCTGTCAGATTCTGACACCTGATAGGTGAGATCGGTCTCTTCGAAGCCAGTGGCACTCATTCTCTGGTCTGTGGTGGGGTCAGAGCGGGGCGGAGAGTCTGGCGAGTTGAGGCAGGTCTGAATCAGTGCCTTGCCGGTGTCACTGGTGATCATGGGCTGCAGTTTGCGGGTGGCAAAGGTATACACGTGGCCTGTCTCACTGGCCACCAGCAACAGCACCTGTGTCCCTGTCAGCGTGGACAGCTCATAGGCCTGGGGGTGGGGAGGGAGATGGGCAGGTCAGTACAAAGCAGGAAGGAGGAGAACTAACCTATATGGTGATCTCCAGCCCCACTCCCATAATGACCTTCGTCTCTAGGGACTCTAGCAAGGTTGATGCCATCAGGATATCTGAAGGTAGCTGGGAGCAGGAAAACTATCCATGCTTGTTCTTGGAGGAACAGCCCCACCAATTGCAGGTACCCCAAGCAAGCCATCACTGGCGCCCAGGCCAAAGTATGTAACATTAGGGTACACGACTGGCTCCCAATACAGCCTGGTACCTGCAGCCTCTGAGACCCACTTGCTTTTCACTCTAGAGGGACAAGGCTGGATCCCTGCCACACCCGTGATTCACACATCACATTAACGGTAAGGGACCATGTACGCTGCAAACTGTCCCATATGTCTTCCCAGAAAGTGCACAAGCCCTAACCTGCTGTCATTAACTCCTGCTGCCCTGCAACGCTATACAGTCCCTTTATTCCTGCTTTATCTTGGAAAGGAGAGGAAAGGAAAAGAGAGCTCTCCTTCATGAACCACCTTCCCCCACAACCTTCTGACTGATGATCAAGTGACAAGGGATACTGATACAGTGTCTGGAGCTATGGCAGATGGGAGCTAGATTAGCACCAAATACCCTCCCGTGAGCCCAGGAAGGGGACGCCGGAGACACCATCCTCACTCGCAACAGCGTTCCACAGCTCACCTTGGGTTTCTCTCGATGGGACAAATAAAAACACCCGCCAGCGTTCCCAAGGCTGTCGCCTCTTGCTTCCCAGTAACTCTGTTTCCATCCCTTCCCCTCTCTACCTTCTGTGTTCCGCGACGACTTTCCTCACTTTCCCCTGGAGAACTGGCCAGCAAAGAAGAAATTCCCGGGCACCTCTACAAACCTGTCTGACTCCCACCCCCAGCCAAACTCCCTGCAGAGATTTTCCCTACAGTTGGAAACCCCGCCCGGCCCCAAGGCAGGCAGTTCTGCAGCCGGTCCTGCCCGGAGTATGAGGTTTCCAGTGAGAGCAACGGAAGACACATGGGCCAGGGCGGGACTTGGTCCCCGCTGGCTGCCGAGGCAGGTCAGCCCTCCTACTCCCTCACCTGGTCCCTAACCTGCTCTCCCCTTCCTGGCTGCGCTACTCTCCCAGCTGCCCACGTTCCTCCCACACAGACAGCTCCAGCCTCACCTCCACACCTTCTCTCCTGTCCCCGCTCTCCCTTACCATTCTCCGGCACTGGCACCGGGGCGAACCGACCGCGGACCCTGTCTCGTGGCGCGCACTCCTCTGCGCTCCGCAGGGGCCCCTCGCTCCACGCGCGGTCACTCCCACCTCTCCCGGACATCCGCGGCATCCCCTTCCCGCGGGCCTCCCGGGCGGCAGCCGTCCCCTCCCACACCTCCACCGCGGCGCCCCCCTGTAGCACCCGCCCCCGGCCGCCGGTACCTTCTTCATGATGCCCGTCTTCCTCTTGCTGAAGGTCGTGTAGCGCCGCAGCTTGTTGTCGATGAACTCCATCTTGATCTTCACGCGGCCCCGGGTCTTCTTGCCGGGCTTGGCCCCGCTCACCGCGCCGCTCACCGGCCCGTAGCCCCCCGCGGCCG